TTTCTGTGTCAATAAAAGGTAGCTCTTCATCCTTACCTCCCTTCCTAAGGGTGCCTGGGGGAACTAAGGAGACTGATGAGAGTTTCTGAGCCCTCCTCCTCCTGATGAAGGCAGGCATGGTGCAAAGATGTGTGCACATGTTCTCAGGTCTCGACTCTGATGCCTTTCTTCTTGCCCTTCCAGACTCCAGAGCCAGGTGCACATGTGCCAGGTGAAGGTGAGATTGAAGATAACCAGCTCCCCCTGGCCCCTGAAGAACCAGAGGAGCAGGGATGGAGCCAGGAAACAGACCAGGATGATTTTGAGACACTGTCCCACCAGAGTGAAAGCCGATCAGACACAAAAACTGACCCCTTTGAAAGTGCCTCTGACACAGAGTCCCTGTCCGGTGACCTTACTAGGGGAGTCCGTCTCCCTCCAAGTGGTCCCTCCATAGACAGAGATGCATGCTGGGGATGCCTGGATGTCCCAGCAACTAGGCCTTCTAAGGAGCAGCATTTGACCCATGTCCCTACGCTTGATGCAAAGGATGAACTAGATTTGTCCCCTGGCTTAAATGAAGAGTCTTACAAAAATGAGTTGGGAGCCTTTTCTGCAGTCACTGGAAGAGAGGAGGCAGAATACCTGTGGGCCTTGACCAGCCTGGAGCGAGAGTCTTTGCTGGCAGGGGCTCCCAGACACACAGGGTGCTGCTCGCAGGGTGCCACAGAGGGCAGCAGTCCCCAGCCAGCACAGGTGGTGACTGTTCAAGACCTCAGGGGGCTCGCCATTGTTTCTCTTTGGAAATCCAGGTCTGAGAGCTGTCTGGGTGTTCCAGCAGTCTCACCCTTCCTGCTCTGCTGCTGTGAACTGGGTCGAAGCTGGCCACATATCCACAGCAGGGCCAGGGCACCAGTGCTACCTCGCAGAGACCTACTGGACAGCACAGCCCTTCTGGGGGCCAGGACAAAGAAGGGAAGTACTCCAGGCCTGGCAGTGGACACAGACTTCTTCTGGTCCCAGCCCCACTTAGAAACTCCCTGCCAGCCGCCTTTGGGGACATCTTGCCTCTTACATGCCAAGCTTCATCACAGTGCCCCAGAAAATATTGGTGACAAGGGCGGTGCACCCTCGGGGCACCGCTGTCAGCACATGAAGACACAGACCAGGGCCCAGTCCATAGCACGGTTTCCCTTAGGTTACCCTGAGGATCCCGTGTGGCACAACTTAGTGGAGTTTGGGACCCATTTGAAGGAAGAGGCAGAAACAGAACGAGATCCAAGAACACGAAACACCCTTCCCCTCGCGCCCACCCAACTGTCTCATTTGTGCCCTGCTTCTGAAAGTAGGGTTCCTCGCCCGCAGAAGCAGTGCAAACCCAGCCGTTTTAGCTTGAAAAGGGCCTCTCGGGACACGTCTTCTGCAGGTCTCCCGCAGGAAAACCAGTTGGGGCAGGATTCTAGGTCATGCCCAGTCGCTTCATGCCTCACTTCTGAGCTGGTAGAGCTCAGCGCGGAGGAAGTGCCGGGCTCCGCTGAGTGCAAGTCGGAACACAGCCCAGAAAGCAGACCCGAGGAACCCGAAGGCACTGGCCCTGCACCAGGCACCGCTGATGTGAGAGATAAACAAAAGCACCTTCGGGACATTTCTGTTGAGGCAGGAAACCAAACCAGCAATTACACATCAAAGTGTGTTCTCAGTGAGAAAAGAAAGCTGCCTACTGGGGCCAACTTCCCACGTCTTTCCAGCAGTGGCGGGACCCGGGTGTGCAACCGAGACTTGGTGGGTTGCTGGGAAGTGAGCGGGGGTTCAGATGCCCCGGAGACCACCCTGAACTCTAGTGCAGCAGACGCTTCCAAGGAGTCCGCAGAGGCGATGGTTCTAGACCCCAGCAACTGCAGGGAAAATGCCTTGCAAGGTCTTTCAGAATTCACAGCAGCCACGGGGGACGAGGAGCGTGACAAGGGGCCCGGGGGTGGTGCGGGGCCCTTCGCCCCGGGCCTGCGACTGGAGTCCAAAGCAGGCGCGGCTCCTAGGGGCAGGTGCGCGCTCATCATCCTATCTGTGGAGCAGAGAGGTCTGCAGGCCACCAGGAGGAAAGTGGGTCCTCTTCAAGGAACACAGGCCGCTGTCTTTCCGGAAGAAGGACCAGGGTCTCCCCGCAGTACTGTCGTGACCCCCTGTGGGTCTCCCAGGGCCGGGAAAACACCAACTTGTGGCAGTGAGTGGGGAGCTGGAGACGGGGCTCTTCAGCCGGTGGCCCACGCCGCGGAGCTCGGGGGAGTTCTGGTCCTCCGAACTGCTTCAGAGGAGCCAGCGGAAGAGAAGCCGCTCGGAGAGAGCCGACCCCCCGAGCTTGAGAGCGCACAGCGCGCCGAGGACGACCCCTCCGCGGGGAGCCAGGGGCCGCGGAGCCCGAAGCGCAGGCGAGCGGAGCAGGGCG